CCGCCATTTATATAAAATTTACAACCGTTTATCCTTTCAAAATTTTCTTTGTTCTATCTACTCTTTGAGGGTTTTTTATTCAGCCTCGTCTGAAGCCTTCGCCTTCGGGTAACTGGGTTTCAGATTGCTGACAAAACCTGTCTTTTTAAAGAACACCGGTCTTTCAGCTGAAGTCAAACTTCAGTAAGACTTGTTCTCCAAAGACATGAGTCCATGGACAATTCTGGGATATTGCCTTAACTGAGCCTTGTATCCCAGAGAGCCATTATCCGAAACATTGCCTTAAGTTGGCCCTGTGTTTCGGGTATCCATTTTTCAAAGATAGCCAGAAAATCAAGGATAACAGCAACAGTTGAAAATTTTTAAATCAGCCTCGTTTGAAACCTTCGCCTTCGGGTAACTGGGTTTCAGATGGCTTACAAAACTCATGTCTTTTTAAAGAACACTGGTCTTTCAGCTGAAGTCAAACTTCAGTAAGACTTGTTCTCCAAAGACATGAGTCCATGGACAATTCTGGGATATTGCCTTAACTGAGCCTTGTATCCCAGAGAGCCATTATCCGAAACATTGCCTTAAGTTGGCCCTGTGTTTCGGGTATCCATTTTTCAAAGATAGACAGAAAATCAAGGATAACAGCCTTTTTAAATCAGCCTCGTCTGAAACCTTCGCCTTCGGGTAACTGGGTTTCAGATGGCTTACAAAACTCAGTCTTTTTAAAGAACACTGGTCTTTCAGCTGAAATCAAACATCAGTAAGACCTGTTCTCCAAAGACATGAGTCCATGGACAATCCTGGGATATTGCCTTAACTGAGCCTTGTATCCCAGAGAGCCATTATCCGAAACATTGCCTTAAGTTGGCCCTGTGTTTCGGATATGCGTCTTCTTTAAGAACGCTGGTCTTTCAGCTGAAGTCAAATTTCAGTAAGACTTGTTCTAAAGAGGTTAGTCCCAGAAAGCTAATATCCCAAGCATTGCCTTCAGTTGGCCCTGTGTTTCGGATATCCAACTTTCAGACAGTCAATCTTCAGTAAGACTTGTATCCCAGAAGCATTGCCTTCAGTTGGCCCTGTGTTTCGGATATCCAACTTTCAGACAGTCTTCAGTAAGACTTGTATCCCAGAAGCATTGCCTTCAGTTGGCCCTGTGTTTCGGATATCAATTTTGAAGAAGTTCAGAAATTGCTTATTCAACTAAAGTCATACTTCAATTTCTGTGGGGGCAAGAAGCACGCAGTGCAGCTATGTTCGGCAGAGTTGAAGAAAAGAAACAGTAAAGCATTCAAAAATAAAGCAACTGAAGAAAAAAAATATTGAGCTACAAGTTCAATAATTCAGTATCGGCAGCCGCCCACAAGCGGAAAATAACAGCTGCCGAAATACGTACATAAGCAAAAAAATAAAACTGCTGTACGACAAGGCAAGCTGAAGCAAAAAACAAGGCAAAAAACTCAGAAAGCGGCAAGTCTAAAGTTAAGCACATGATGAACCGCAAGATTCTGAAGACGACTGCCCGAGTTCCTATGCTTCAGCCGGCGGATCAGACTGATCAGCGTTGAGTCCCATGGTGGCCTCAGCCCCAGCAGCAGAAGAGGCGGGCTTTGCACTTTGCCGAGCCTCCCTTTCCCTCTGCTCAGCTTCCAACTCCAGTCTTTCAGCTTCCTCTTCGGCTTCCTCAGCCTTAAGAATTTCAGCTTCAGCTGGAGTTGCATACTTCATGTGAGGGTCTTCGGGATTCTGGACCCACTCAGCACATTTAGACCAGTCCAGTTTCGGCTCAGCATGAAGGCAGACTCTTCGGCATACTCGGAATCCGTTTCTGAAACCCATCTCATATTCCTCTTGGGTATAAACACGGACCTTGAGTGAAGCCTCAGCATCAGCCAGCTTCTTCTGGGTCTCCTCCAAGTCTTCCTTGGATTTCTTCAGCTCATCAGCGACTTTGGAGGAGGAACCCTTCAGCTCATTCAGCTCTTGCTGAATTTGGAAAGCCTTTGTCTGAGCTTGGGCCACTTCAACTTTCTGGATCAGCAGTTGATCCTCAGCCTCTTGGAATTTAGCTCTTTGGGCTTCAGCAGCAGCAGCAGCCTCTGAGAGTTGGACGTCTTTGGCCAGGAGCAACTCTTCAGCAGCCATTCGGCTGGCTTCAAGAGCCTCTAGACGCTGCTGCACTTCAGCTTGTGCAGCAGTTCCTTCTTGAATTCGGCTCTCAATAGCAGCCTTGAATTTGGAGACGTCCACTCCCATATGCTCCTGGAGGAATTTTTCCCCTTCCATCAGTGGGGGAAAAACCTCCATCTCCATAGCATCGCAGAAGGTTTTCAGAGTTTCGGCAGCTTTTTTACCGTACTCCTCAACCTCCTGCTGCTTCTCTTCAGCTGCTGCTTGCTTCAGCTTAGCAAGCTTAACTTCCTCTTCAGCCACCTTCCTTTCGTGCACAGCAGCGTCTACCCTATCTTGTAGGGTATCAATCAGCTCTACAGTGAGAGTCTGATTGTGCACGAACTGAAAACAGGAAGACAAAAAAAAAAATAAGTAATAAGAAAAAAAAAAATAGAGCTGAATTTCGGAGGAAATGAAGGAAAATTACCTGCATCATCAGCAGTTGGTTAGACCTGGCTGGGTCAGGAACTGATCTACTGGATTCGCCCATCCCAGCAGTGGCCTTCAGCGACCAGATCCTTGCCCTGTCTACTTCGGACATGCCAGCAAAATTGCCGAAGTAGGCTGCAGCTCCTTCTCGGTTTTGACCCCATATGAGGTCCCAGATGTGATCTGGGACTGGAATTCGGGGGGCCGAGAAACCCATTTCTCCAGAATGCAGAGTCTGGAAAGAAGGGAAGGACGACGATGGAGCTTGATGGGCCTTGGTTGTCTCAGCATCGTCCTTCTCAGAGGAGTCAAGTACTATGACCTCCTCTTCTTCAGGGGTGAGGACGAAAGCCTCAACCTCTCTTGCGATATCTGCCGTGAAGCCTTCAGCACTTGACATCACGGCATCTTTATTTTCGTGCTCAGCAGCACTCTCCTTGATTTCTTCTTGGACCCCTCCCTTAGGTTCGGGAGTTCTCTGATCCACCTCCATCTCAGGAGGTGGCGGAGGGGTCTTTTGAGGAGATTGGGGTGTTGGCTGGGGAACCCTCGGCGATCCATTGCCTTCCTCAGGTTCCCTTATTGCGACGCCGATGGTCATCGGCCTCTGCTGAAAATCATGAGGGCCGATGATGGCCATCCTTCGGCGCCTTTTCAGAAGGGGCTGCTCGTCCATATCTGAATCTGAAGACTCTTGTATTTGATCTTCGGGACGAACAGGAGCTTTGCCTTCTCTGTGTCTGTTACTCTCTTCAGACTGTAACAGACAGGGGGGAAGAAGAGTGTGAGTAAAAAAAAAAAAAAAAAAAAAAAAAAAAAAAGAAGAAGAAGAAAAGAAAAAAGTTGTCTGAAAGCTCACCGAGGTCTTCAGCAAAGCCTCGTCTTCTTCAGCTGCTCTAGCTGCAGCTTCGGCTTCAGCAGTTCTGGAGGACCCTTCTCCTCCTTCACAAGCCTCAAGTACCCGTGCAACCTCTTCGGCTGTTGCGGGCAGCTTCAGCTTCTTCGTTCAGCAGCTGAAACCAAGGGTCTCTCTTCTTCCACCAAGGCTTCTTGCCTCTGATACAGAGCAACAGCCTCAATTTGGAAGTGGGAAGAGTCCAGATGAACTTCCCTATGCCTCGGCTCAGTGATAGACGGGGCCCGTTCAGTTACAACTCGCTCTCGGTTAACACCAAGACGAGCGTAGTTAATACCAACGTTGGTTCTCGTCCCGCTCTGAAAAAAAGGAAAGGGAAAAAGTTTAGCTCAGATATGTTGGCACAGCATAAAAAAAGCAAAGCGAGAGAAGAAAAAGAGGTAGTTAAAAAAGCCTCGGCCCCAGCCGAAGAAGCTTACCATCCTTAAACTTTCGGCTGAGGCCAACAGCTGCTAGCATGTTCTCTTGGAAAACGTAATGCGTATCGGGGAGCCAAGTCTCCGGGATATGCTGCATTCGACCACTTCCCCCCGGGTTCGGCAGCTTGCCGAAGATATGTTGCTGATCCAGGTTCGGATCCGCCCCGTTATCTGCGGGGGGACCTAGACTTCCCATTTCGGGATCAGGCTCAGCTAAGTACCGGGGAGCGCTGAAGACACAAGGGTGGCCCGGATCTATGGGTGCCCTAACCCAAATCCATTGACCTCTCCAGTCCTTGTCTGAAGAGTCATTTGGCCACATGGTCAAATATTGGGGCCGGGACTCAATCCGATACCACCCAGAACCATGGCTTCCGTGCCCACTCTGAATATTTGGCACTAGCCGATGGAGCTTTCTGAAGCAGTGCAGGTTCGGCACGTATCTGAAGAACTTGCAGACCCATAAGTATGTCATCACCCTTCGGATGCTGGTGGGGGTTAGCTGACATAGG